AATGAGGGAAACCAGAAGCGAAAGGAATTGTTCTAGAGTGGAAGCAATTTGTTCAACGGGCGGGAAAATTGAACGTCCTAATTCCTTCAAGTTTGAATGTTGAAATCGCATAAAGAAATTGGATTTATCATACATGGAATATATTCGTTTCTCACATTACGTTATTGCTCTGCGCACGTGATTAATTTTTTTTTTATATCTTTTGCATCAGAAACGTGATTGCACACATACACCATAAATTTTTTTTTCAATAATATATTTTCAAATAAATAAAAGCAATATTTCAAGTTCAATAAAAATTCACATAAAACCACATTAACGTGTATAGTCGGTAAAATACAAAATAGTAAATTGAAGCACCAGCGTGAAAATGGTGAATTAACGTTTTAAAAAAATGTTTATGGGTATAAAAAAATCGTGCAAGGTACTTCATGAATGCACGCGATAATCTTTCCGCGTAATACTTTTTTTTTTAATGGGTGTTCTTGCGGAATAATCGATTTTCTCGTGTCGTTTCCAGCGACGCGACTGGAGCCTGGGGAATCGACAAGGGTCGTTTCACGAGCTAGTCCGATAGTCGACGGCAATGAACACGTTGTCGGTTGTTTGTCGGAGCGTTTCGTGGTCCAGACAGGACAAACATACGGAGACGATTGCAACGGGAGTGCATAGTGTATAGTGTGTGTGTGTGTGTATGTGTGTGTGTATGTATGCGCGTTCGAGAGTAAATTAAAAATCAATTCTAGAACAGGGACGATTCCGAAGTCCCTGCTTATTGCGCGCAGCGTACGATTCCCGAAATCTGTATACGCAAGACAGATTGCACGATGTGCGAACATCCACCTGCCACGGTCCGATAAACCTAAAAATCTGCTAATATTTCGATCAATCTGAATTTAAAAAGGATTGCCTGCATTTTTATGTAAATCCAGGGCATCTCCTACTATTAATCATATACTCTTGTCTCTCGATTTATAAACTTGTTATTTATTTAATTTTTCTTGTCGCGTACAAATGAACGCAAGAAATTAAGATTTATCACCCGACATGGAAGCCGACGTAAAAGAAAGCACGCCGGAAATATATGTATGCTATTTAGATAAAATTATACCGCCTCCACGGATAACGCAGTCGAGGTGGAAAACTCGATACTCGGCGTCGCTGAAGCCGTGAGACCAGTTGACTAGCGCGAAGCAATTTCGGTAGTAAATCCAGGTTGCTGAGAGACAACTCCATTCGAGGAATAAGGATATTACTTCAAAGCGCAAGCTCATCCCGCGCCTTTCATCACACGGTGAGAAATCCCCTGCCCAATCAGAGCAAACCCCGTGTAAACGTTCCGAACTCGACGGCGGAAGTAAATGCTGAATCCGCACGGAGGTGTCAGGTAATAGTCGACTCGTATCTTCGTCCTCGCAAAGGCAGGGACGTGTGCGCGCGGAGATGGCGGTGGGTATTTTCTCTCCTTCGCTCCCACCCCTATATACGTAACACACTACCTTCAACCGCCTTCCTTTCGTGCGCGCACACACACACACACTCACGTTGCCTTTCTTTCTCTCTGTCCTCCGTCAGCCTTCCTCCCTTTATCCTTACTCCCCGCGCCTTTTTTCCCCCCTCCCCCTCTCTTCCTTTTTTGGTGCTTGCAAGAGAGGAGATGCCTTTCCAACGGAACGAAGTTTTCCGGGGAAGTAAAGTCATTTCGCTCGTGCAATCTAAGTTAAGTGACTTTCGAGAGCCCCGGCGACGAAACTTGCCCCACCGCTTACCTCCTCTCAGAAGCAACCCTTTCACTTTCCCATCGTCCCTCCCGCTCGCCACCCCCATCGGCGGAATCCGAAATGTGACGAAGATTACCTTGTATCTGGAGATTCGCGGCCGCTCGGGGCACTTGAAAAAATGGAGTCGTTTAAGGAATACAACCACCGTTCTTTTTGCTTTGTATACAAATTTGCTCAAGGTTACGTAAACTATAAGATTGGACAATTAATTAATTTTAATCAACTATGGCTGTTTCGTTTTTATAACTTCCAATAAAATTATATGATTCGTAACATGAATTAGTAATAATTGCATAGAATAAAAGATTGTGTTCATTTCAAACAAAATTAAATAATATTTATACATGCATAATTAAAAAAAAAGTAGCTATTAAAAGATGAGAGAGAGAGAGAGAGAAATATAATAATATTGTACAAATTTTTCTGAAAGAAAAATTACGCTAAGGAATATATCAATAAAATTAATAAAAGACAGATTTAGATGCGAATTTATCACTTCTTCGTATCATAATATCAAACTTTATATAAATTTATATACTCAACTTGTCTCAAATGTTAAAAACTGTCTCTTCTCTAATTTTAATCTGTCCTCTTATAGCTTCTTCTCTTATATCTTCTACTATCTCTTCTTAGTTTATCTCAGATATACGCTTACACCGCTCACGTAATTCCAGTGCAATTTTAATTATATATTCATCGAAGGTGGGTCGAAGTTAAGGAGAAACCGAATTAATTCGAGCCATCGATATATTATAAGACTTGAATTTACCGTATTTCCTATATGTATTTACCGCGTCGATACTGCACCACCTCGATATTGCACCGCTTCCCGTACTCTTACTTCCAGAGAATAAATGCAATTATTTATCGCCAAATGGACTGCGCCAGATACTAACCAAATTAGAAAAAAAAATTCGTTAAACCTCGCCGACCCGCGCTTTCAGTTCGCGAGCGAATTCGCCTCTGTATAACGTGTATCTCTTTTCCCCCCTTTTTTTTTTGCACATTCGTCGGTGCGCCATATTTCGCGATTAACGTGAAATGTACAAAAGTGCCGTAGCGCAATCTATATACCGCTGCAGCACACACGCGTCCAGCGGAACGTGTCGGTCCCGCTCTGCCATTCGGAGTGTCGCGACCGCCGGGATTGCCTCGATTTTCGAAGAGTCACGAGCCGCCGGCCGCTCGTAAATACGGCCGATTCCACTTTTTTTTCCTCCGGCCCTCCGATCAATCCGTCCTAGCCGACCGTCCTCATCGCGCCGTCCTCCGAACCCC